CTCTCTATCTCACTCTGCGATGTGTGTCTCTCAAACGTTATTATTTTGAGAGTGGAAAACTCTATAGTTCAAAGTTTCGCCCGTTGGCTCACACATAAAGAGAGCACAGAGATATCTGGCACACAATTAATAGTCCGGCCTGTTCACGATGAATATTCATTAGTCTTTGAACGCTCATGCATTTATTCACGGGCTGAACGTTTCAGAATCCGACACCAGTGTTTTGTGTGTGGAAATTTTACATCAGCTGCATATATGGTGGTGGCGAAAATGACGCGCGCATTCCCCGTCATTAAAAATTAACACTGATCTCTTTTTCAGGCCCTGGCTAATAAAAAAGTTCGATCGCGAATATAGCAGGTTGAAATTTTTATACGCCGTAAAAAGAACCATTCAAGCTGAAAACTTTATACGGCGGAAAATTCGCCCGCGAAAATCGATCTACTGTAAAGTAAGCTGCAAGATTTTATCTCCCAACGTCTCCATTGTACAAAACAACAGGAATGGAAATTTGAGCGGGGAGAGAGGTAGGAAGGAAGGAAGCTCTTGTGTCAGCATAATTTGTTCACATGCGACCTCGCACAGAACATTGCACGAGGAACCTTTCCAAATGAAAAATATATGCGGCTCCTTTCGTTGGTTTAAAAACTGATTGCTCTTTTAGAAAAGGCAGAGAGAGGAATTTCACTCCATTACAACAAGGATTCACTTTGCTTCACATTACAAATTTTAAATTTTCTTAATTAATTTAGAATTTTAATAATTATTTATATTACCAAAAATTTAACTAGTTGCTTTTAAATAACATTTTAAGTTTAATATTTTTAATCATTTAAAATTATTTAAAAAATAAACATTTTAAGCTTTTTTAATATAACTAATTATTTTTTGCATAATAATATAAAACTACTGTTTAAATTAAAATAAGATCAATAATGTATAGTACAAAATATAAATTTATTCTGTGATGATGACCTTCGTTATTCCATTCACAATATATAATTATAAAACAATACATTTGTGATAACAATACCTCTCTTGATGTCGTGATGTGGATTATTTTGAAATAATGAGAACAAAATAATCTCCAGATATCTCAATTCCAAATCATGGCAATAAACTCGAAAAAGTAAACATACCTATTGATACCTTTCTTAAATATGTTGAGTACGATGCGATTTATAAAAAAAAACTACTACGACAGTTACATGATATGCAAAAATATCATTAAAGCAGATGTAAAAATAAAGAAAAATAATGCTTGTTATTTACTTATTACACAGCTGGTTGTTAATGAAAAATTAAGGAAAATATTTTTACCGACTTTCCAACTTTTAGGGTCGCCGTGGTTCCATAAATTTTACATAATTGAGTGAAAGTCTCAAAGTTTTATTCTTGCTTTTTTCTAGATAAAAAACACCCTTCAGCAGCAAACAACACTTTCCCATTAAAAGTCCACAGTTCGGGAAGCGTTGAACTTTTGTGCATAAATATTTGAAAGGGTCGGAAAATAAGCACGGAAAGCTGGAGCTTATTCGAGGAAAATCGATAGGGACTTCTAAATTTGTTGGCCAGGTCGTAAATAATAGCCCCGTCGACTTGTAAACGTGTGTCGTGACTGGCAGTGCAGCATTATTGTTCTATTGATGCGGCTTTCAAGGACGCTGGCAGCTCTTTTTGTGGGGCTACGATTGAGAGATGGAGGAAGGAACGATCACTCATTTGCCCCGCACACGCCAACAACAGCAGTTTTTGCACGCCCCGATATCCACAGGGGCCTGCATCGCCGGGGGTGAGCGACGACCTTCTTCTTCTTTCTCCCTCGCTAACTTTTTTTGCATCAGAACTCTCGCTGCGAGACGTTTGATTGCGAATGTAATAAGGACTTCTTGCGAACTGCACATATTTTTTGCCGACAAATTGCACCAACTGTCATTCGAGATCGTTGTGACGTGACTAATGGGGTGCTCTGCTCCTATTACGGGAGATAATAATCGGAACCACTGCTCTCTCGCAGAATGTCATAGTATAGAATGACAACTGTGAAGCGCCGAGACGAGAAGGAAACTTTTATGAAAAAATTTTTTTTTTTATTTATTTACATAATAATTTTATGTTCAATTTATTAAATAAGAGTATTTATTTACAAATAATATTTTTGTTTTATATAAAATAATTTTACATTTTAACATTAATTTTGGATAATCTAGTTTTATTTCTTTAATAGTTTTATTAAAATATTTCTATATAAAAATTTAATGATTCTGCTGTCAATAGTTATCCTACGCTTGTTAAACGTTTAAGAAGCCAAAAGGTGCATAACATAGAGACTTTCCAGCTTTGAAGTTTTTAGAGGCATAATTTAAATTGACTGGTTAATTCATTCAGGAGTAATATAAGAAAATTTAATGATAAAAATAACAATAATTTTTTAGGTTAACCAAGAGGAATTAATGTTAAATCACTTGTACTGTACACAAATGAATAATAGGTAAAAAGGTTTGAATTTTCAAGTAAAAAATTGCAAATGCAAATTTTTCTTAATAACACCAACAAAATAAATAAATTCAATAGTGAAGTTGATGCAAATGTGTAAGAACTATTTTTTTCTAAAAAAAAAAGTAATTTAAGTGGAGACTTTGTTTTTTCTTTTCTTTTTAATTAGGTACCTTGCCAGTGATTTATTATTTAAAATAAAATAATTATAATTGATAATTGTGTCGCAGTTTTCCTCAAGTTCCGTTTTAGGAGGAAAAACGTACAGAAAGTTTCCCAGAGGCCATTAAGCCCCTTAAATTAGCTCCCCCAAAAGGCAATTAGTGCCCACATTTCAACTCATGTTTGTATGCAGAAAGAAAAGTTGTGCTCGAATCCGGCTTTAAAAGGAGCAAAACTTTCCACTTGTGCTTTTGGGAGGAAATTGAAAAAAAATGAACCGCCTCTTGCTAGTTCTCCTATATTTATTTTGTCCTAAATTATTTATGACGAATCTAATAATGGCCCACTAGCGAGTTTCCTGGCCGGTAAATTGGCCCGGAGACAAAAAGAGAAAGAAGAAGTCGGCTCTCCCCTGCTCTTGCTCGGACGGATGCTGGAGCCAAGTTAGGTAATGGAGGAAAGTTTAATTTCCTCCTGCATCGTGTGCATGGGTGCGAGCGAGTGAATTTATTCGCCATCGTGCGCTCTCTTCATAAATAAATAATGCCAAGCGAGAACTTTAATAAACACAGAAGAACAATTTTGGTGAAAAATAATAATAGCTACTTTCTGCGTTCTTGCAAATTTGAAGCCTTCTCATAGAAACGCGGACCGTATTTTGTGCTGGCAAGTGCATGCGCGCGGAAATTATTTCGTGATTTATTACTGCCCCGCCATCAAACGCGATATTTTGCAGTCTTTTGTCGCCTCCTCGCGCCCTCTTTTTTATGGGCTTTTAATTTATTCCATTCAGCGGCGGCGCTCTCCATCGTTCCACATTTAGTTGGAGCTCTACTAGAGTGCAGAGTTGCGTCGGAACATTTTCCGAGTGGATTCGCGTTTTACTGTTTTTGATGGGTGTCAGAAAAGCTCCATTGTGGCCGTTATAAGTGGACAAGAATTCGCTATAAACCAGTCAAAATTTAATTTATCCAACCCCTCAAGCATAAAAAGCCTCTTAAATTTTAAATTCGTCACTTTATAAATATATTTTTCTATTACCTGGATATTCCTGCTTTTAAAAGAGTTTTGTAAAAAAGCCAATTTTGTTTTTAAAGATTTTAATCGTTCAAAAATTAATCAATACATAATATACAAATTCGAGCTATTTTTTATATTATCTTTGTCACTAAAAGTTTTATAAGTTTAAAATTAATCAAAAAGATATTTGATAAAAGTATGTCTAAACAATGTAGACTAATTAAAATAAAGAGATAGCGTATTTAATCAATGATCATGCTTTCAAACACACTCCATAGTCCAAATGTCCAATCTTAAAACTTCAAAAAATAACAATTTCGTCATGTCCGTGATTTTTTGCAGCACGTGCTTGAAAAAGTGATTTAAATCACATTTGTTAACAAAGTAATCCATTTATGATAAAATAAAAAAAGTGACGCAGTGGAAAAAAAATGTGCTGTTGAAGCTCTATAACAATTGATTTTTTCGCTTTTTTTGTGCGAATCAACTGAATTATTACATTTTGAATGGCTTCTTCTGCCTATCAAAATTCGCTGAGCTAAAAATTCCTTTATTATTTCATACCTCACCTCATATTTTTGCACACACTAGCTGCTCTCAGCTGCGTTGATTTACAGCAAGGAAATGGCGATAAGTCCCGCGGGAATTGTAAACCCCATCATGTTCGCCGTATTTGCTCAGATATAGCTCCGTAAATTACACACACACACAACACACGCTCTCTCCCTATTTGACTCGCTTTTAAACCGGAGAGTGGCTCATCTAAATTGCTCAATTACAAGCGAGAATGGAATATTATATTCACTCTATTGATTTTCTGCCCGAACCTGTTTGAGAATGGCGCGCCAAATCACAACCCGAATTAAAATTATTTCGCAAGAGATGTTTGAAATCAGTGCCAAATGGTAGGTAATTTTTATTGGCTCTAATTGCGGCACTTTTAACACTGCACGCGGCTCGTTTAGATGTCCGTTTTAAAGCGCCACTAATAAGCAAATCCTTCATGTGACTGCCGAGCTAGTTGAAAGTTCTATATAAAATTAGATTGTTTTCACAGCTGTGCGGCAAAGGCAGCCGGGCATGGTGGCGCACACGTCTGTAGTTCGCCTCTCCAATTAAAAATGAGAACAAGCAAAAGAGTACGGATCTGTATTTAACCAAAGAAAGTTCAATGAAAGTGAAAGAGGAGCTAATTAAAAATAAATAATTTAAAAAGAACGAAAACCAACAACTTCATACATGTAAATATTTCAGGCCAATATAACAATTGTAAATAATATTAAAAAAATGAAATTTGTTTTGTGCGAAAACTTTGAACTTACCGTGGGTGAGAATATTGATGGTCTCGTTGTGGAAGTAGAAGAGGGAATGCACGCAGCCCCACACGCTTTGCACGGGCCGGTAGCCGGTGAGGATGTAGGGGTTGAACTGCAGGTACCTGGGCATGTCGTGCCACTTGAGAAGCCTCCGTTTCTTCTTCTCGTCGTCCATTTCGGCCGCTATCTTCGCATACTAGGCTCGAAACGCAGCCGAACGGACGCGCTCTCTCGCTCGGACCCGGATTGGCCCCTAACCGAGATCGGCTCGATCGAGAGAGCTGGGTGGTGCGAGGGTGACGGCAGTGCTCGGCTCACTCACAGTAGTCTGCTCGCCTCGATGGGGATGCATGCGCACCACCAGGGGTGCCCTCGCGCGGCGCTACCGGTTTTCAACGCGCGCTGGCTCCGCCTCCCAACCGGTTCGCTCTTTTTGCTCTCTATCTCGAGCTGCCTTTTGTGCATGTGGAGGAGCATGATGTGGCTATTTGCATGTCCCGCAGTTCCTGTCTCTCGCTGAGCTATCATAGCCAGAGAGAGGAAGTGTGTGTGTTTTTTTCTGCATCAAGTTTACTTTGCCTCGATCAGATTCTAATGCGATGGTTTATAGGGTGGAATCATGAATCATAAACAGGAGATTTTTAATTGCTGGATTGAAAAAATTTATTTATTAATTATGAGTTGTTACTTCATTCGTCCTATTTAGAAATATCTTTTTAAGGATTCACTTGCAAATCAATTTTTCAATCCATGACCGTCTGCTTCAAGACAAGATTTCTCAATAATTAATATTGACGAGGTGCAACTTCTTGCTATCAGTGTATGAACATTCTAATTTTTAATTTAAAATTTTTGAAAATAGTCTTATAGTGCAAATGATTAATGAGCTTGATAATTCCTCCTATTATGTAAAATTAAATTAATAAAATTTTCGATATAATTTAATTGCGCTTATTTATTATTTTCACTTTTAATTCAATTTAAAAAAAAACCTTGAATTTCTCTCAAAATTCACAGTGAATAATTATATATTTGAAATATTTCCACACATTATAGCTTGGGCGTCTTCAAATATAATAATAATTAATTTGAAATTTCTAAACAAATTACGCCTAAAATCTAGAATTATTAACTTATTGAAATAAATTTTCTGTAGTAAAAAATAAAAATCATCCTCCCTTTTGTCTTTAATTTACACAACACATTTGTGACCCTTTTGTCGTTTCCTGCAATCCTTATTTTCTAATACAATAAACTTCTTCCTGCTTTTCATGCCACATACTCTAGCTGCTGAATCTACATTCAAGTGCACCCGGCCCTTTCATTTCAACTTGCTCGTCTCCCAAACTTTCCAGACTTGACGCGTCGCGTACATAATGTAAATCTCTCTCATCCCGTTCATTCTCTTTTCTCTAACAAAAGTGTTATTTTTGTGGACAATGGGGCGAGAAAAACCGGTATATTCAAATGAGCACTGGCAGGGTGAGTGTTTATGCGTGCCCTGCCGCAGCAAGTAGCACACCGAACTCGTCGGCACTGACACAGCAGCACCGCACGCTTGCTTTTTACAACCGACAGCACTTAGCTGGATTCCCATAGGCTAAAGGCTAAACCGTGCAATGCCCAAATCGATTTTCGGCTCGTCCTTCGCCACTGCCGGGCCATCTCGCGCCGCTCGCTCGCTACTTTTTGTTCTCCGAGGCCTGCAAGCTTTTCCCTCTCTCGCTGCAAGAACACGATATATCCCCCATTGTGCCTCGCATTAACACACACATGAATTCAACCTTTTCTTGTTTGCTTTTTGTCTCCTTTGCTAGATTTCCGCAAGCGCGTCAAGATAATGTAAAAAAATTCCAGCTTCTCCTATTCTCTCATTAAAGCCTGTCCCTTTTTGCCTCGTTTGGACGGACTGAAGACGTATTATTTCTGGCAGCAGCTCGGTTGATGCTTCAATTGTCTTCTGCGCACACAGAGAGATTTTTTGTGTGCTTCTCCAGCCAAAGATGAAATTTCGCATTCAGAAGCACGCAGACGTGAAGTTTTCGTTTGCCAGCAGACGGTTCCTCCTCATCTTATTATGCGCAAAATGAAAAGTCAAACGTCGCGAACAAAGTCGAGAACAATGATGGAAAGTTGTGCATATTTTATTTTATGTAGGCAACCTGCTCGCCTCCAGTGCTGTGCGGAATGCATACTCACAAGTGCTTTATTGCTTTCCGCTCTATACAATCTACGTTGTGTAGTTTCAAATGTCATTATTGTTTCGAAGAGAAATTGAATGCGGAATTCTGAAATTGAGAGTTGCTTTCAATAAGCGAAATCACGATCAAGTTCCAGGTATTGCAGAAAAATTTATTTCCTTCTAAAACACAAAAGTTAAATATGGTCATTGGGCTTCAATACTACAAGAGGCTACTGGATCGATTACAAGTTGGAATAATTTTAGTGCAGTTTTTAATGTAGATTTTTGGAGACCAGATAATTTTGTTTATGCGAAAATTACGGCTTTTACCTTTCAATCAATTATGCTTGGAAAAGGAAAGGCCAGAGGCTTGAAAAGTTACTTTTAGTGCAGGAGAAATAACCGTTTCAGCAAGTTTTGCCGCAGTAGAAATTTAATTTTTGATGCGCTTAGATGAGAAGGGAAGTTAATTAATAATTTTTGTTTTTATTCACTTATTTAAAAAGAATTTCGCATAAAATTTGTTATTAGTTGACGAACGAAAATAACTTTTGAAATTCATATTAATCTGCTCTTATTTGTTGACTTTTATAAGAGACGTGACTTCAAGATAAAAAGAGAAGCGCAATAAAAAATTTAATATAGGCCAAGACTATATGGAAAGTAGACAATCTCATATATATTCTCCAAGAGTGAGGTTCGCACTTAGGCTAAAAAGAGAGTCTCTTTATCCAAGTATAGAGACTCAAATGTTATTACGCTCTCTCACGAGATTGAAAGAAGAAAAAAAACGATTTAGAATTTAATGAAAGTCGCTCGGCAATCAGAGTCGTCAACCTCTGTATATTTCACAAAAGCTTTTCGCAGCATTTTTAGAAGGAGATGAGCCGCTCTCGCAATATGGGCCCCAGTAGCTTTTGCCCAAGTCGAGGAGCCAGGCCAGGCCAACGGGGGTGAGTGATGTGCACGACGGCGCAATAACAAAGTCTAGCTGGGAAACGACACAATACATTTTGTGCAGAGCGCGGTATATTTACGGCTGCTGGCGGGAGAGGTAATTTATGTACTTGCACGCGTACATAATGCATTTTTATACCGCGAGAGCGTCCTTTTAACAGCGCGGTCGTGAATTTATTTGACACCCTCTCGACGCGCACACCAACCCTTTGAACTTTGAGTTTCGCCACCTCCACACATGCACGGGCTGCGGAGAATTTTTTTACTTTTCACGTCAATGATTTTATCTCCTAGCTTTACAGAAGCGAAAAAGGATGGAATCGCCAATATTTGCTCTCAATATCAGCATCACGTGTCTTCCTTTAAAGGAAATGCGTCAAAAAATCAAATAATAATAAAGTAGGAAGAATTTTTATAGAAATTGCCTACAGTCCGCCCAAATAAAAATAAAACTTTTGACTTTTTTCAAAATTTTACTGCAATAAATTATAACAAATAAATATATTTTGTGCCCGTGAACTTAAGTATTCAGATCAACTCGTACTAGCCTTACATTTCCTCATTTTATAATCCAAAATAGAAGCACATTTTCCTAGGGTGTGATTGTGTGTGTGTGTGTGTGTTTTTTTTTTTTTTATAAATTTGTCATTTTAGTTTTTGATTCTTCAAAACTGGCCCACCCGAGATTTTCTGAATTTTGGAATTCAAATTTTAAGCTAACCTGAATATAAATCTTTGGCAAAATTGGAATTTATTTAAAATTAAAGAAGCCATATAAACGAACTTAATTTTTCTGTGTTGCGCGACTCTAGTTTTACGTATATTATGGGGAATAATTATTGTCATGTGACAATTTTTTACTACACTAAGAAACTGAAGCATTAAAATGCCGTATTAATAAAAGCTAAATTTACAGGTGATTCCAAACTCACCAAAATATAATGTGAATTTACCTCAAAAGGTTTATTACAATTTAAAATAAAAATTAAAATAATAACACTAATGAACCTTTTTACAACTAAATGAGCAATTTATTTGGTAATATCTTACGAAGCAAAGAATTATAATATCAGAAAAAAATATATTCTGGCCAATTACCAAAAAATCATAAAGTATAATGGATACGGAGAAGGTATAATTATTATTTTGAATCATGCAAAAAATTTGTTTCCAAATTATTTTTAGTATTTTACAAAACATAAATTATTCAAATTGAAATTAAATTATTTAAAAGTATATTTCCTAAAATTAGAAAAAAAACCAATAAATTTAACATGTAAAATATAATAGCATTTCAATAAAATTTTTTCTAACTACAACCTTTTCATGTAATAGCATTTCTAAAAATTGACGTGTAGGTGGCAGCAGGATCCGTGCGGCAAAACGAAAGGCACGTTGAGCGTTGAGCACATTCGTTTGCTGATCGCTGATCTGTTGGCAGCTCTGGATGCGCAAACAACAACGGAGCGAGCGAAGAACCGTGGAAAATCAACCTTTTGCGACTTGATGGGCTCTTTGATGTCCACCTTTCCGAACACACTCGACGCGCCCACCATCCTGAACCTCACGGTGAGTGCCTTCGAAAAGCAAACTAGGCCGCGCGTTTCTCTGCTCGGGCGGGGCTAAACGAACGAGCGCGCCGCAGAAAGAGAAGAGGCGATCAATTTTGCTTGGGAGCGAGTAAAGTTGCTGCAGGTCGTCGCCTTAAGTTCAGTTTTGATGTTCTGGACGTTCGTCAGACGCGAACTGATCGACAGTCTGTTGGTGAAGAATTGCCTGAACACCGCCGTCAACACGGTTTGGAACCAAGTCGGCGCCGAAAAAGCCCTTCAAGTGAGTCCGTCGGCCGCTCTCAGGCCCCGAGCGAGCGTCGCAGCGGCCAAGATGGCCGCCGGCGGCCGCGCGCGGACGGCGCCGTCGGCCGCTTTTCGGCCTCTGCCGGCCGCCCAGTTTGCCTTCCTTCGCTCCACCGGCGGCCGAACACGTGGCCGAATATTCGGCGCGGCCACGCTTTGGCCGCCGCTTTCTAGAACGTTAATTTGCGCACGAACGCCACCGTCGGCGACCAGAACTAATAAATCCTATGCTGCCTTTTTGAGCAAACTAGGACTGAATTAATTATACATAGTTGTTTTTATATATTTTTATTGATCAATTTTTTTCAGTTAA